ATATGTGTGTGTGTATATATATATATATGTGTGTGTGTGTGTGTGTGTGTGTGTATCAGGCAATGCATTTATATGGATATATATATATATATATATATATATATATATATATATATATTCTTTGATATATATATCGTGCATTTATATGGATATATATATATATATCCATATAAATGCATCAGGCCATGCATTTACTTTTATTTGTCAAGTTTTCTATAGCATTACTAATTATTTTTGTCTGCTAGACTTTTCAAACTATTGCTAAACTATTCCACTATAATGATTGATTATTCATTTTTCTTTATATTCCTAACCATTTTGTGTCACATATTTGAAATTTTTATGCCTGCATGCTAATTATTGTAAGACCTTTTTTTAAAGCTTCTTATTTTATATTGACTCTTTTCCTAATAGTGTTTCTAATTTTAAATCCCATTTTCTCTAATATTAATATGGTTTTATTTAATATAAATTTTCCTATAGTTTTTATCTGTGGGTATATTGGGTTTCATTATTTCATTCCCAAGTTTTGTATATCCTTTCACTAGGCATATTTGTATCTTGTAAGCTATTTACATTTAGTTCCTATCTTCTTATTCACTATGTTAACCCTTCAGCCAGCTGTTTGACCTATTTACATTGATTATTATTAATTGATATATTTCACCTGCTTCTCACTTTGTTATTTGTGTTTCATATTTTTTAAGAGAGAGAGAGAGAGAGAGAGAGAGAGAGAGAGAGAGAGAGAGAGATTGGAGAGAGAGAGAGAATTTTTTAATATTTATTTTTCAGTTTTTTGGTGGACACAACATCTTTATTTTTATGTGGTGCTGAGGATCGAACCCAGCACCCTGCGCATGCCAGGCGAGCACACTACCGCTTGAGCCACATCCCCATCCCTGTGTTTCATATTTAATATATTTATCTTTGATACTTTCTTATCACTTTTATGTCTTTTGTTTCCATGCTAATTTAATCCACTGATACTGAAATTATCCATAATATCATACCAAGTTATAAGGTTATAGATTTCATTTTATCTTTGTTTTTGTCCCTCATTGCTACTTTTTTTTATTCATGATAACTGCATCATGATATTTGATCAATTTTATTTTACTGTTTTAAACTCTACCCTTTAATTTCTCTTCTTATTTAGATATATTTCATCCAAACTCTTTTCAGTTTAGTCTTTGTGGGAATAAATCTTCTTAAACATTTTATTTATTTAACATTGTATGCTTAAGAATATTTTTATCCTAGCCTTATATGTGAAAAACATTTACCTGAGATACAATTGTGTTTTTTTTCTTTCAGTTTCTAAAAATATTGATTTATTTTATCTTTCCATTTAATTTTGTTATTGAAAATTTTTATTAGTCTGATTCCAGATTCCTCACAAATGACTTTTTTCCCCTTTCTTTAGGCTTTTAGATTTTTCTCTTCACTCTTCAATTTCAGTATGCTATGTCTGGATTTATAGTTTTCCTATTATTTTCGTTTGTTAGCATCACATAGACACTTTGATTTTAAATAAATATAAAGTAACAATAAAATAAAATAAAAATCGAAAGTTTTTTACTTAGATAATTCTTTGAAATTTATCTCCATTATTTCTTACATTTCACTTCTTCACTTTATCTTTTCCTTTTCTAAGACTACTATCATGTATGTTTTGATTTTAATAAATTCATCCTCTATATTGTTTAACTTTACTTTTATATGTCCTGTGTGTCTTTCACTCTCCTTTCATGTTACTTTAATCTGATATTATACTTTATTAATTATTTTATTCCTTTCCCAATGAATACATTAAGAAATGCTTTTTTGTTGTTATTTTGCAGGGTTTATTCCCTAAGTAATATATTTTTTCATACTTCCTATTTCTGCTTGGTTCTTATTGGTCTCATTGGTCATTACTACATTTTCTCATTATTATTTTCTATTGTAAACTATTACAAATTCCTTCTCTTATTTGTTTTAGGCTAATTTAAGAAGTTTGGCTTCCTTTGCTTTACTTTTTTTTTCTTTTCATGATATTTATAATGCATATTATTTTAGTTTTGAAATAGACATTTTGCTAGGTGTTTGCAATTTTGCGTATGAGCTTATTTTCTTCAGGAACTACTGGCTATTGTTAATGGAAGTTTGTATGTAGAAAGGTCAGACCCAATATATTTCAATTCTTATGATTTCAATAATGGAGATGTGAATACAATCTAGATACCAGGAAATCACTGTTAATCACTCATCACCTCAGAGTAATTTCTCAGATCAGAAGTTCACATTTTTCTATCATAGAGAAATATTGTCTTCTAGAGAAATGTGCTCCACCTTGTTGAATAGATTCTATAGCAAATTTCTTATTTAATGTCTTTAAACGGTGTTTGTTGTTAATAAAAATGTTCATCTATTGCCATGCCAAAGGTTTGCCTTATTGAAAAAGTAATCTGCTTTTTAATCAAAATAAGTATTTCTTCATGAAATATCTATCCCATTGCCTAATGATCTTTAAAATGAAGTTAAAATTTAGACCGTATTGCCTAAGTAACTTACACCTTTGATAACTGTAGATATAAATTTGCTTCATAAGCTCTTCCAGATGTACATATAATTGTTAAATTTCCACTAACATTGTACTCTTACATCTTTTAATAGAGAAAAGGCACTTTAGATTAGCAAAGTGTATTACATGCTTGGAAATTGAAATCCAATAGTGTAATGATATTCAAAAAGTGATTAGCCATTTACATGAAATAGAATAGTACCTACAGCATAAAATTAAATAGGTTATTAATCATCATGCTTTAGGGCATAAATTAGACAATAACCAAGGTCAAGAGAAGATGTAGCATAGCTATAGTTAAGCAGGATTAGATTCATTATCAGAATTCCAGCTCCATTTCTAAGGAATAAAATTCATTGGCTACTGTCTAACCAGGTAATATGGACCCATGAAGTGCTATAGTTAGGACCCTCTGGCTTTATTGTTACAATGTGTATGTAGGATAGCTCTTTCTCTTCTGTAACATTTCTGCAATTTGCCACTTCAGTATTGACATCCATCTCAATTCAAGCTCTTCAGAGAAAAGCACTCTATCCCTGGTTCCTTCCCCCTCACTCCCTATCCTTTTGTTCAGCGTGTCCATTATGATTCTCCAAAGCATAGTGGAAATGTACAACTCAGGTTGATGATTCCTTATCTCATAGCCAACAAACTTTTCAAAAACAATCTTGGAATGCTGTACTTTTAAAACTGTGACTAAATGACTCACAACATAGGGAAAGCTTTGCTTTTTTCTCCCATCTAAATGTATTTATCAGATACTTCTAATTGTATTTATCTGATACATCTTTCCAATTTGGTCAACTTTGTCCTCATTTTGCACATGAGGAAATTGAGAAGGAATTGACTTGAAGAGTACCCTTCCAATTTCCATAAATAAAAACACATTCTGAAACATTAAGTGTGTATAGAACAAAGGTGATAAAGCCTAATAAAGTCAGTTATGTGGTAGCATATCCTATGATCACAACTACCTGGGAAGTTGAGGCAAGAGAATTATGAGTTCAAGGTCAAGCTGGGCACATAGCAAGATCTTGCCTCAAAATAAAACATTATTTTAAAAGACTGGGGACATAATTCAGTGGTAGAAATTTTTGTCTGTCATTTGTGAAGCCCTGAGTTCAATCTCTAGTATCACCAACAAAACAAAAGAAGGAAATAAAGAAGTATTATATGCACTATAGAAAGGTCTTCATTGACATGTACATATTTTTTTTTGCATTTAAGTAATTTAAACCATTTTTTTTCAAAATTCTTTTTCCTTAGAAATATATAACATTTATTGCATATACTATAGTGGTATATTACCTTAGAAACAAATTTTGATCTTAATATATATTTTGTTTGTATTTATTTCCAGTCTGATTTTATAAGTATCAAATAGTTCTCTCAGGTTGAATTGTAGTTTTACAAAAAGTGGGAAGGTGGAGTTAGATTTTCCATAATAATCTTGTTAAAAACATGTTTGATTATATGTATTGTTCATAGTCCTTTAGGAAAGAAAAAAATGTTGATACTTAGCTTTTGGCTAATTGCCTAGAAGTGGAATGAAAACCTTTAGAATGGAAATATTTTAAAATTTAAGATCTTACATTGAAAATGTAGCTTGTTGTGGAGTAATAGTATCCACTTGGAATATGAATATTGTTTAAATTTAATTTTCTTGGAAGATCAAGTCCATAAGCATGTTTTAAATAATGAATTGGTACAGTTTTGAATTGTGTATAAAAGGCCTTAGCTTTTCTAAAAATATGTTCTTAAGAAGGACTTCATGAATAGCAGTGTTGTTATAATTGGATGTACTCTATATTCACTAGAGACAGAAGTAGTTTTAGAATAGTTTTGGTTACCAACTGGCATATTTATAATAATCTAGAACATTAAGTGTGCAATGAGAACTCTTCCAGGAAGGAGAGTTCCTCACTTAATTAGCAGTGTAAAATGCCTCTTGACTGTGAGTTTCTGGTAGCATTGACGGCATTCAGAAGCCTCTCAGATATTCAACCATTATACCTAATTTGTGGTGCAGAAGGAACTTTCCATTTTTGCTAAGATGTGTATTGATTTTTGTCCAAAATGATAATTTTAATTGTATTCATTTATAACCACATCTTATGCTGGCTCAAACTTCCATAGCTTTGTAAATATTAATCAGAATTTTCCTTCATGCATGAACTGATTTCTTTTTTTGTTTAAGTATAAATAGATTTTTTCAGCATATCTTATCCACAAACATTTCATAATGTATTTAAAAATAGTTAATGCATACTCACCCTCTTATTTAAAATTAAAACACTATATATTCCCATTATTGTTATTATTATTATTAACAAACCAACAAATTTAAAATAAAGATTTTTAAAGTCTACAACTAACTAAATGTATCCATGTGCACAGAGGTGTTTGATTGATTGATCTTTTTCTTATTCCTCTAAAGTTATCTGGAAATATTTTGGATGTTTATAGTGGCGAGCCCGGGATTTCACCAGTTAATATGGGGCTTACAAGTGCTTCCTGTCCAAGTGGTTTACCAATGAAAAGAGAAATTACAGGTAATGTTACTTTTATATTTTTATTCTGTTTAACTTTTATTAGCTACAACAAATATGAGAGACATGCTTGATCATATTAAATAGAATTTCTAAAGAATATCAAGATATTTGGCTAAAAAGGAAGCAAATGAGAGTAAATTAATCATTTTTACAGTACCTACATTGTAAGTTAATTTAATTCACAGTTTAACTGAATTGATTAATTAGTAGTTGTATGTATGTGTTTATTAATTGTATACACACACACACACACACACACACACCCCACATCCTTCATTTAACATGGATTCATTTTGCTATTGAATAGATGGAATTTATTAACATGGTTGCAAAATGACATATCAAATTAGGGAAATTCTTTTTTGTGATTACAATTGGATATAAGACAAAAGCTTAATTTGTTTTTTTGTGTTTTAACTTATTTTATGGATTTCATGAAAGATTTGCATTTAACTTTCTCAATTGGGGAAAAACCCTAAATTTTCTATAGTTCATTTAAAAACTGTTACAACTCAGAAGAGATAAAGGACAGAGTCAAATTCTTCATGATACATAGACACGGCATAAGGATTGAGAGGTTATTTTCCCAAAGTTATATATCTGGTAAGAAGCAGAAATAGTTTAACGTAAGGATTTCTTGACTTACAAATCCAATGTCAGATTTCTTACAATAATAAATATAAAATGTATTTGAAATTTTTATAACAAGTTTATATATTTAGAGCTCAAAACTGGTCTACAGTAATTTTACGTATTTAATACTAACATTTTAAGTAAATACAAAATGGATGGTCTTAGAGCTTAATAACTCAGGCATGTTTAAGCATTTAAATTATTTAGATTATAATTAATGACCACAGTTTTAAATGATTTAAAAAGAATGTATTACTTTATTACCTATTTTAATATTATAATAATTCTAAGACACTTTCTAATTTTCTGCTGTTATATAATAACAAGTTAATTCCCCCAGTTTAGCAGCTTGATGTAAACATTTGTGACCTTATACATTCTATGAGGATTGGGACACCAGAAGAGGCTTAGAAAATTGGAGCTGAATCAGAGTCTATTATGTAGCTATAATCTATTATAATTATTATATCTATATTATATTATATCTATTATAATCTATTATGAAGCTATAATCCAGATGTCAGTCAGAGCTCCACAATCTGACCCTTGACTTAGGCTGGAAGAGGCACTGCCAAGGCAGCTCATTCATGGCTCTTACATTTTAATGCTGCTTGTTGACAATTGGTCTTGGTTGATAACTGTGTGAATCTTTCTCTCCATGGGTTGCTTGAGTGTCCTCATGACATGAAAACTAGTAATCCAAGGGGTACAAAAGTAAAAGCTAAAACATGTCTTGGAAGCCACAGTAAACATTTCCACAAAATTCTATTGGTTTCACAGGTCAACCCATTCCGTACTGGAGAGAATCATCAAGGGTGTGAGAATCATCAAGGGCCATCTTGAAGGCTGATGGCCATGAGCACAATCACATAGCACATGGAGGGTAGGGTCATTTACTGGAAGAAAGTGTGGAGTTCAATATAGATACCAGAGAAATGTAGTTAGTTCCAACACTTGGGGTGTACAAAATTACATTTATTTATGAAGAATTAAGATTGGAATAATTTCTTTTTGAGTTTCAAAATTTGGAAAATAATAGGTAGGAATAGCAGTGATTGAATAGTTTAATATAGTCTGTATGCTGCACCATTTTCATAATCATCACAGTGATTTTCAGGTAGATATTACGATTGTATTCATTTTACAGTTGAGGTACCTGAAATAAAGAGAAGTCTGATAATCAATCAGATGGCTATTAAATGGAGAGCCGGGAAACAAATCCAGGCTATAAAACCATTTTGGAGGAAGGAGTATTGTTTTTTCATTTAATATTTCTGAATTGTGTTGCCTAGAAAAGTTTTGAGGTATAACCAAGCATTGTTTTAATTATTTTTCTTTTGATCAGAAACTGACACTAGAGCTTTGGCAAAGGAAAGACAAAAAAAGGACAATCACAACCTGAGTGAGTATGTTTTTCTTTCTTTCCAAACAAAATTAGTTCAAAAGGAAGTGCATGGAGATTTAAAGTATATGGTCATTCATTATCACTCCATAAGAACCCAAAGTCAGATGACCAAAATTACACAGTCACAGATGAGCTATTTTGGGAAAGGGGAACCATGTGAACTCTCCAAGAAAAAAAAGGTGCAGATTTTCACAAAGTGAAACATTCTGAATTCTCTCCTTGATCATTCATTCTTAAGGAGGCTGCCTGTGCCTCAAATGAATACATTTGGTTACATTGGCACTGTGCTGTGACTCATTGGTTCAAAGATTTAAAAAGGGAGAACATGACTTTAGAAAGTGTAAACCATTTAAATATCAGAAGCACCAGTTCAGGTTCTCATTTTTCTGTGTCAATTTGCTCCTTCCTTCCTAATGATATGTTATCTGAAACGCATTGCTTATGTGTTAATGCTGAATTCCACCTCTGGGAAAAAAAGAGCTTTTATGCCTTCCTCAGGGTCAATTTGACTCTGATAACGAGTCACATGAGATGGAGAAATACAGGCAAAAGAAGGAGATTAGCAGTAAGGCTGGGCTTTAGAGTGCTTGGTCTTGTCTTAAGTGCTTAACTATCTCAAGTGAGCTTGATCAATCCAGTGTGAAGCCAAATCAAAAACTGAGAAAAAAGCCAAACTGCACAAAAGTAAATAAAACTGTAAAGCCTTACAATGTAATTTCTTTACATGTAATTAGTTGAAATTGATTTTCCACCTATCTATGAGACCTACATCTGTGCATAATGCACTTGCATCCCAAGGTGATGACAGTTAGGTGAGTCTGAGAGGAAGGAGCTAACATATGGTTACAGCAGTCCTCAGGGAACTGATCTAACTCCCAAAGCCCTCAGTAGGAGAGGGACAAGGTGAGTATGAGTAGGGAGAGCTAATGGCTGTGGAAGAAATGAGTACATTGAGGAACTATGGTTTTTTTTTTTCCTTAATAAACCTGTGAATGATTATTCTCCTTGCTTTTCCCTTTATTTCCTGTATGTCTGCAGCTTATGTGACAGGTTATTTAATATAGAGTATGGTAGTTATCTGGTATGTGCCTTATCAAAGTGTTCTCTGATCTGACTTCTCTTGCTAATTCATCTTGCTTTCAAGGGAAAAATCAACGTTAAAAAATTAATACCATATATGTTAAGTATAATGGATCTAGATCAACTTTTAAAAACTATAAAACTAATGGGGTTGTGGCAAAAGTACAGAGGTCCCATTTACCAGAGTTCTAGATACATAAAAAGTATAAATCAAGCTAAAAAGTGCTAAATTAAATGTGTTTCCCAGAAGATCAGGAGTGATTTTGGAATTTTCAGGTTGTTAAGTCTGGTGTGGGAATGTCAGGGCAAGGCATGCCAGCCTTCAGCTTGAAGCTCACTTCACTTCTTTTCCCACCCTCTATTCCATTATGTGCAGCAAATGGCCTGAAATGTATGTGTATACACCCCACCTTGTACATTCAAGCTCTATACACACCCCTAAATATTTTGGCCATGTCCTGTATCTGAGGGTCAGTACACAGGTGCCATGTGCCAAGAGGTCAGACCCAGGCTTGGAAGTGGGCCAGGGAAATGGACAGGAAATTTCTGGTGCAAATTAGAAGAACTAGTTTAAAAGGATTCCCTGGGGCTTGTGGATGTCTTGCTTAGTGGGGAGAGGTATAGCCAGGGCAGGAATGAGTGTGTCTTCTAAGTATGTATTGGAGGAGTGGTCTCTTTTGTCTGCATCTGGAGAGAGGATTGAGCGACTATGTCAAAAACATGAAGAGTGAAACCACAAAGCATAAAATAATTTAGTATTTTCTTAAAACATGACTCTTTTACAAATGAACAGCGTCAAGAAACCAAATATATAATTAGCCATTGAAAAATTGATACATACAATCTAATAAACTAGAGAAGTAGCATATTTAAAATACAAATTTAAAATATAAGGATACCATATGTGAAAATAGAATTACTAACAAATTCTCACTGTAAAATAAACATGTATTCCTATCAGTTTTACCTTTCTTTATTTTGTCTTCAGTGTTTTATGTGCTATCATTGCTGGGTTTTGAATCACATGCACAGAAGAAACAGGATTGGTACAAGGGGAAAATAAACTCTTTTAAGGATTAGTTATATTCTAATTTTAGAAAGAAATTCAATGTTCTCGATCTGAAGATTAAATCCATTCATAGTAATTTGCTTCATGGAATAGGTTCACCAAACAATGGATGTTCTTTGATGACTTTCATTATTTCCAGTTGTGATTTTCCTTTTCAGGTGTATATTTTACTTTTCTTTAAGTATTTTACAACATTTTTGAAACATATTTTCTTCTTCTTGGCCTTTTTCTACCTTTGTATACCTGAAAGCTTTAAATATGTCAGCTATTGCAAAAGTATTATATGTAAGTAATTGCTATGGTTTTTGATAATAAGAATATAGAGTGACTGCTCACAATCAATATAGGAGACTCATAATATGCCTGGCATTTTTGAAACAGCATAGAAACAAAATTGCCATAAGTAATTATTGAACCCCAAGTTCAATTTCTGGTACCTACCCTCACACCCCCCAGGCACCCTGGAAAAAGAGCCTATATCAGTAGTTCTCAAATTATGGACCTTCTACTGACTGCATCATTATCACCTGAGGACTCATCAGAAATGGATATCTTGGACTCTATTCCATATCTAGTAAAAGCAGAATCTCTGAGTATGGTGTAAAAATCTATTTTAAAATTCCTCTAGGTATGTCTGATGCGTTCCAAAATTTGAAAAAAATTATCTATGTTATTAAAAACTTTAAATGGGAGGCTGAGCCGCCCCCTCCCCCTGCACCAGCAAGGTAGAGGGAACTGTGACCACGCACAGAGCAGGCCCAGCGGCCTGCTGAGGGGCAGAGCCACCCCCAACCCCCCCCGCCTGCCAGGTGACCACCGACAGAAAAGGCCCAGTGGCCTGCGGTGGGACAGAGCTTCCAATCACTCCTGCAAGGTAGGCGGGCCTGCGACCCACTGGCAGAAGAGGAGCAGCGGCCTGCTGAGAGGCTGAGCCGCCCCCTCCCCCTGCACCGGCAAGGTAGAGGGAACTGTGACCACGCACAGAGCAGGCCCAGCGGCCTGCTGAGGGGCAGAGCCACCCCCACCCCCCGCGCCTGCCAGGTGACCACCGACAGAAAAGGCCCAGTGGCCCGCAGTGGGACAGAGCTTCCAATCACTCCTGCAAGGTAGGCGGGCCTGCGACCCACCGGCAGAAGAGGAGCAGCGGCCTGCTGAGAGGCAGAGCCGCCCCCTCCCCCCAGCGCCTGCAAGGTAGACGGAACTGTGACCACCATCAGAACAGGCCAGACCTGCAACCGAGAGACAGAACAGGCCCAGTGGCCTGAGGAAGGGTAGAGCCACCCCCCCCCACGCCTGCAAGGTAGGCGCACCTGCGACCCACTGGCAGTACAGCCCCAGAGGCCTGCAGAGGGGCAGTGCTGTTGCCTGCGCCTGCAAAGTAGACAGAACTGTGACCACCGACAGAACAAGCCTAGCGGCCCGCAGAGGAACAGAGCCGCCGCCCGCGCCTGCGAGGGAGACTTTGCAACTATACAAGACCAATATAAATATATAGGGGGAAAATTCAATAGCACAACAGTTTCACCAAGTAGAAAGGAACGCGAACAGTATGAAGAGACAAGGAAAGAAAGGACCACAAGCATTGCAGGTCAACTCAACGTTAGAAGAGGTAATAGCTGCATCAGATGGAATGTCAGATAAAGAATTCAGGATATACATGCTTCAGATGATCTGGAGTCTCAAGGAAGACATCAGACAGCAAAATCAGACAATGAAAGATCACTTCAACAATGAATTACATAAACAAATCCAAGAAGCAAAAGATCAACTATACAGGGAAATAGAGGTTATAAAAAACAAACAAACAGAAATCCTAGAAATGCAGGAAGCAATAAGCCAACTTAAAAACTCAATTGAGAATACTACCAGCAGAGTAGAACACTTAGAAGACAGAACATCAGACAATGAAGATAAAGTATTTCAACTTGAAAAGAACATAGACAGCACAGCAAGACTGTTAAGAAACCATGAGCAGAACATCCAAGAAATATGGGATAACATCAAGAGACCAAATTTAAGAGTCATTGGGATACAGGAAGGGACAGAGTTTCAAACCAAAGGAATGAGCAATCTATTCAATGAAATAATACGAGAAAACTTCCCAGACTTGAAGAATGAGACAGAACCCCAAATCCTAGAAGCCTACAGGACGCCGAATGTGCAAAATCATAAGAGACCCACACCTAGACACATTATAATGAAGATGCCCAACATACAGAATAAGGAGAGAATTTTAAAAGCTACAAGAGAAAGGAAGCAGATCACATTTAGGGGTAAGCCAATCAGGATAACAGCTGATCTTTCAACACAGACTCTGAAAGCTAGAAGATCCTGGAATAACATATTTCAAACACTGAAAGAAAATGGGTTCCAACCAAGAATTGTGTTTCCAGCGAAATTAAGCTTCAGGATGGAAGATGAAATTAAAACCTTCCACGATAAACAAAAGTTAAAAGAATTTGCAGCTAGAAAACCATCTCTTCAAAACATCCTTGGCAAAACATTACAGGAAGAGGAAATGGAAAATAACAATGAAAACCAACAGTGGGAGGTAGGACACTAAAGGGGGGAAAATAATCAAAGAGGAAAACAAACCATGTTTAGTAACATAAATAAACAAATATGGCTGGAAGAACAACCCATATCTCAATAATAACCCTAAATGTTAATGGCTTAAACTCACCAATCAAGAGACACAGGCTAGTAGAATGGATCACAAAACAAGAGCCAACAATATGCTGCCTACAGGAGACACATTTGATAGGAAAAGACATACATAGGCTGAAGGTGAAAGGTTGGGAAAAATCATATCACTCATATGGACTTCGGAAACAAGCAGGAGTATCCATACTCATATCAAATAAAATAGATTTCAAGCCAAAGTTAATCAAAAGGGATAAAGAGGGACACTACATACTGCTCAAGGGAACCATACACCAACAAGACATAACAATCATAAATATATATGCCCCAAACAATGGTGCAGCTATGTTCATCAAACAAACTCTTCTCAAGTTCAAGAGTCTAATAGACCACCATACAATAATCATGGGAGACTTCAACACACCTCTATCACCACTGGACAGATCTTCCAAACAAAAGTTGAATAAGGAAACTATAGAACTCAATAACACAATTAATAACCTAGACTTAATTGACATATATAGAATATACCACCCAACATCAAGCAGTTACACTTTTTTCTCAGCAGCACATGGATCCTTCTCAAAAATAGATCATATATTATGTCACAGGGAAACTCTTAGACAATATAAAGGAGTAGAGATAATACCATGCATCCTATCTGATCATAATGGAATGGAACTGAAAATCAATGATAAAAGAAGGAGGGGAAAAGAATACATCACTTGGAGAATGAACAATAGGTTACTGAACGATCAATGGGTTATAGAAGACATCAAGGAAGAAATTAAAAAATTCTTAGAGATTAATGAAAACACAGACACAACATATCGGAATCTATGGGACACATTGAAAGCAGTTCTAAGAGGAAAATTCATTGCTTGGAGTTCATTCCTTAAAAAAAGAAAAAACCAACAAATAAATGATCTCATACTTCATCTCAAAATCCTTGAAAAAGAAGAGCAAAACAACAGCAAAAGAAGTAGAAGGCAAGAAATAATTAAAATCAGAGCTGAAATTAATGAAATCGAAACAAAAGAAACAATTGAAAAAATTGACAAAACTAAAAGTTGGTTCTTTGAAAAAATAAACAAAATCGACAGACCCTTAGCCATGCTAGCGAAGAGAAGAAGAGAGAGAACTCAAATTACTAACATACGGGATGAAAGAGGCAATATCACAACAGACACTTCAGAAATACAGAAGATAATCAAAAATTATTTTGAATCCTTATACTCCAATAAATTAGAAGATAGTGAAGGCATAGATAAATTTCTTAAGTCATATGATCTGCCCAGATTGAGTCAGGAGGATATAGACAACCTAAACAGACCAATATCAATTGAGGAAATAGAAGAAACCATCAAAAGACTACCAACTAAGAAAAGCCCAGGACCGGATGGGTATACAGCAGAGTTTTACAAAACCTTTAAAGAGGAACTAATACCAATACTTTTCAAGCTACTTCGGGAAATAGAAAAAGAGGGAGAACTTCCAAATTCATTCTACGAGGCCAACATCACCCTGATACCCAAACCAGACAAAGACACTTCAAAGAAAGAAAACTACAGACCAATATCTCTAATGAACCTAGATGCAAAAATCCTCAATAAAATTCTGGCCACTCGGATACAAAAACTTATCAAAAAAATTGTGCACCATGATCAAGTAGGATTCATCCCTGGGATGCAAGGCTGGTTCAATATACGGAAATCAATAAATGTTATTCGCCACATCAATAGACTTAAAAATAAGAATCATATGATCATCTCGATAGATGCGGAAAAAGCATTTGACAAAGTACAGCATCCCTTTATGTTCAAAACTCTAGAAAAACTAGGGATAACAGGAACATACCTCAATATTGTAAAAGCAATCTATGCTAAGCCTCAGGCTAGCATCATTCTGAATGGAGAAAAATTGAAGGCATTCCCTCTAAAATCTGGAACAAGACAGGGATGCCCTCTCTCACCACTTCTGTTCAACATAGTTCTCGAAACACTGGCCAGAGCAATTAGACAGATGAAAGAAATTAAAGGCATCAAAATAGGAAAAGAAGAACTTAAATTATCACTATTTGCAGATGACATGATTCTATACCTAGCAGACCCAAAAGGGTCTACAAAGAAACTATTAGAGCTAATAAATGAATTCAGCAAAGTGGCAGGATACAAAATCAACAGGCATAAATCAAAGGCATTCCTGTATATCAGCGACAAATCCTCTGAAATGGAAATGAGGACAACCACTCCATTCACAATATCTTCAAAAAAAATAAAATACTTGGGAATCAACCTAACAAAAGAGGTGAAAGACTTATACAATGAAAACTGCAGAACCCTAAAGAGAGAAATAGAAGAAGATCTTAGAAGATGGAAAAATATACCCTGTTCATGGATAGGCAGAACTAACATCATCAAAATGGCGATATTACCAAAAGTTCTCTATAGGTTTAATGCAATGCCAATCAAAATCCCAATGGCATTTCTTGTAGAAATAGAGAAAGCAATCATGAAATTCATATGGAAAAACAAAAGACCCAGAATAGCAAAAACAATGCTAAGCAGGAAGTGTGAATCAGGCGGTATTGCGATACCAGACTTCAAACTATACTACAGAGCAATAGTAACAAAAACAGCATGGTACTGGTACCAAAACAGGCGGGTGGACCAATGGTACAGAATAGAGGACACAGAAACCAATCCACAAAACTACAACTACCTTATATTTGATAAAGGGGCTAAAAGCATGCAATGGAGGAAGGATAGCATCTTCAACAAATGGTGCTGGGAAAACTGGAAATCCATATGCAACAAAATGAAACTGAATCCCTTTCTCTCGCCATGCACAAAAGTTAATTCAAAATGGATCAAGGAGCTTGATATCAAATCAGAGACACGCCGTCTGATAGAAGAAAAAGTTGGCTACGATCTACATACTGTGGGGTCGGGCTCCAAATTCCTCAATAGGACACCCATAGCACAAAAGTTAATAACTAGAATCAACAAATGGGACTTACTCAAACTAAAAAGTTTTTTCTCAGCAAAAGATACAATAAGAGAGGTAAATAGAGAGCCTACATCCTGGGAACAAATCTTTACTCCTCACACTTCAGATAGAGCCCTAATATCCAGAGTATACAAAGAACTCAAAAAATTAGACAATAAGAGAACAAACAACCCAATCAACAAATGGGCCAAGGACCTGAACAGACACTTCTCAGAGGAGGACATACAATCAATCAACAAGTACATGAAAAAATGCTCACCATCTCTAGCAGTCAGAGAAATGCAAATCAAAACCACCCTAAGATACCATCTCACTCCAGTTAGATTGGCAGCCATTATGAAGTCAAACAACAACAAGTGCTGGCGAGGATGTGGGGAAAAGGGTACACTTGTACATTGCTGGTGGGACTGCAAATTGGTGCAGCCATTTTGGAAAGCAGTATGGAGATTTCTTGGAAAGCTGGGAATGTAGCCACCATTTGACCCAGCTATTCCCCTTCTCGGTCTATTCCCTAAAGACCTAAAAAGAGCATGCTACAGGGACACTGCTACATCGATGTTCATAGCAGCACAATTCACAATAGCTAGACTGTGGAACCAACCTAGATGCCCTTCAATGGATGAATGGATAAAAAAAATGTGGCATTTATACACAATGGAGTATTACTCTGCATTAAAAAATGACAAAATCATAGAATTTACAGGGAAATGGATGGCATTAGAGCAGATTATGCTAAGTGAAGCTAGCCAATCCCTAAAAAACAAATGCCAACTGTCTTCTTTGATATAAGGAGAGTAACTAAGAACAGAGTAGGGTCGAAGAGCATGAGAAGAAGATTAACATTAAACAGGGATGAGAGGTGGGAGGGAAAGGGAGAGAGAAGGGAAAATGCATGGAAATGGAAGGAGACCCTCAGAGTTATACAAAAGTACATACAAGAGGAAGTGAGGGGAAGGGGAAAAATAATATAAGGGGGACAAACGAATGTCAGTAGAGGGAGCAGAGAGAGAAGAGGGGAGGGGAGGGGAGGGGAGGGGAGGGGAGGAGGGATAGTAGAGGATAGGAAAGGCAGCAGAATACAACAGACACTAGTATGGCAATATGTAAATCAATGGATGTGTAACTGATGTGATTCTGCAATCTGTATATGGGGTAAAAATGGGAGCTCATAACCCACTTGAATCAAATTGTGAAATATGATATATCAAGAACTATGTAATGTTTTGAACAGCCAACAATAAAAAATTAAAAAAAAAACTTTAAATGGAAAATTAATTGATAGTCTAATCAATATACATTTATTTAGCCCTTCCTACATAGGTCAAGTTCTCTAGTGATACAAAAACAAGGAAGACATGACCCCTTCCTCAAGATAGTCTTGGTTAGCTAAGCACACACCAATCATGTGTTACACATTAAAATAAACAGGAAGAATCAAGTGTGGTGCGTGACTTCAAAAGATCACAACCATGATGAACTTACAGAATATGTGCATGTAAAATAACAAAGTCATGTATGTGTGTGTGAGTAAATATTATAACAATGGAAAATATTGTTTTAAGAAAAAATGTTTTTAAAATATTGTAAATCATATATTCAATTCTAATAATGTAACTTAGAATAAGATTCATTTGAATTCTTATTATTGAGAAGTGCAATCTCTTAACTGAATGGCGATGTTTTTGCCACTGTTTTTAAAAGATTATTAAGAAAGTTTACAGCTAACCAAAAGTGAACTGTGTTTTAATGAGAATAATCAATAATATTTCTTCTTTAATAGTTGAAAGAAGAAGAAGGTATAATATTAATTACCGAATCAAGGAGCTTGGCACACTTATTCCAAAGTCTAATGATCCGTGAGTTTAAAATCATTTCTATAATAATGTTATGGTTTCAATGCCCCCCCAAAATGGGTGGGAGGGGATAAGGGAGGACAGAAGCGATGATTAGGAAACTAAGCAGCTTACGAAAAGCTAAGGCTATTGCTGTCCCCCCATTGTAATATATCTAGTCCAGAGTGGTCACTATTAAGCATCTACTCTGTTCCCAGAGTTCCCCTTCTGAGCATAGGAAATAAGTTAATTATTTCTCCTCAGTTCATATTAGGTCTCTTAGTATAACAATACTGGCAGTTTTAGTGGTATGAAGAGCTATTTATGATGCTGACTGGGATACTCAGTTTATGGTTATAGCATCTTTTACAACTTAAGATTTATGTGTACCTAATAATGTAATCGTCAGATTCTTCAGAGGTCTCCAATTTGTGGAGACCCCAAAGTAAAAAATGGAGTTGTAAAAACCTGTTGATTGATGGGACCAGGTTTTTTTGGCAAACACACAGAATCAAATACACTGTTTGTGTTTGCAAGTCTCAAGAAATAATTAATCAAAGTGTTGTGTTAGAATTTTGAATGTTTATACAAAAATATAAAAACATGCTTTCCAGAGTTAATAATGATTTGAAAATGACCTCTGCAAAAGCTGGCATTTTTCCAGATTTGATGATGTTTGATAAAGTGGTATTTGTGAGAGTTGAATACACTCTTTCCCTAAATCCAAATTTCCTAATTAACATGGATAATTTAATAATGTGTGAAGTGCATGCCTAAGATAACAGTAAATTGTACATTTCCATATTTTTGCCTGGTGGCAACCCCTACCACAATTTATACATTGGTGTTTCCTGATTTGACCCTAATATCTTTCAAGTTTGACACCTTCCAAAAAATGTATTTTCTTAAAAAAAAACTATTTTACAGAAACTGAAAGACCAATATCAACATTCTCTCTTTAGTCCTGTCTTTATGGAGGTTTATTGTTTATAGAGTACTATAGTAAAATTTTTATTTTCTGATGTTTATAGAGTACTATAGTAAATTTTTTATTTTCTGATGCTTGAAATCTTGGAGAGACAGGCAAAAATCCCTTTTACATGCAAAAACAACTTTAAAATTTTAAAGAAAGATGTATCTTACATTCAAATGGCTTTAGATAGAGTGAATGTTTCAAAACTTAATAAATGACATCAGGTACAAATTGAAGAAGGGCTCATTAGGTGTTCCAATCACTAGTCTGAAGGTTCAATTTCAGGTCTAACTAAACAATACTTTAAATTTCAAAGTTGGTTAGCATTATATTTTTCATCTTATTCCTCTTATTCCTCCTCCTTTAATTTTGTCTTCCCATGAGAAGAAATGAAACAAAACTAAGAATCCATAAGACTTCTGCCATTGCTTGGGGTTTTGGTTCATGAGACTGCTATGTTTCTCAGTTAGATACTTTCTCATTACAATGCTGAAAGTAACCTGTCTTCACATCCATCCCATCACAAGATAAATCCCTGTGAGTAGAAAGTCCCAATAGCTATAGTAGAATGTCCCCCTAGAAATCTGATGCAGCATTTCCAAGCTTGAGACACAATAGTTTGTTGTATTTCACAGAAGATGATTCTCACCTGATGACAGAAAAATGGAACTTCCATTAGTTCATTACTGCTAATGACATTGTCCCTTAATCTAGACTCCCAATGAGACACCTTCTGATCAGATCTGTTATAAACTGTATTTTCCCACTTTTGACTCTTAATAAATACATATTAAGATCAATATAATTCAATAAATATAATATTGAATATAATCAATATAATCACATAAACCAAAAATAGGGGCATTTAAACAAAAACATGTGTAGGAAAATATAAAACTTCTTTACATGCTTACTTTATGCTCTATTCAAAACATCTCATGCCTCTAATTTGAAAAATTGTCAAGGTTTTTTAGCCATTTTGATTGATGTTTATCAATTAATTCATTCTTATTTGCAATAAATTCTTATTTGTAATTACAATTAGTATCTATTCTAATACAGAATTGCATTTGTGGACATATGCTTTCAGACAATAAAATGAGTATAATGTCATATAATTTTATACCTAAAATTTCTCCTATATTAAAAATAAGTTTTAATAAAATATTTTCTATGCAATAGCAGTATTGCTTAACTACATTTACTCATCTTAAATTTATTTTAAAATAGCTATCTGTATCCAGCTTTTTTTTTAAAAAAAAAAGCTTGATACTGTTTGGGCAGAAAAGTTGGCCAAACAGTTTTAGAAAGTTTGCCTTATTGCATTGTGATGTTGCTAAACTCAGATATGTTTCACAATCCCTGAGGATCACATTCAGGGGAGATTTTGTTTATTTTTCTTAAAAACACAAGCATCCTTATTAGGAAGTAGGTTAAAAGATTGGTACATTTGAGGGGCTGGGGTTGTGGCTCAGCAGTAGAACACTTGCCTTACCTGTATGAGGCACTGGGTTCGATCCACAGCACCACATAAAAATAAATAAACAAAATAAAGGTATTGTGTCCATTTACAACAATTTTTTTTAAAAGATTGGTACGTTTGGAATGATCTTTAAAAATTTAGGCTTAAGTCGTCAGTAATGTACATTTCCTAGTTCATTAATGCAGAAATACTGCACATAGATTTTAATCTCAGAGTTAATAATAAAAGCAATTTTCACTAAAAATATAAAAACTGTAATGGTAGAATCATGATATTGCATTTAGCTCTCCCACAAAAAGTCACTTTATTACTTTCTTTTGACACTTATTTTCATTCTGGGATTAATTTTACTATATAAGGGCTTCTTAACTATTCTATTAAAATTTCTATTCAGAAGCAATAATATCTAAGAGTGAATAATAGTCATGTAAATCATTATTTCATATTAATGTAAAAGATTTTGTAAGTTCTTATGAATTCTGCTGACATGCACAATTGTGAAAAGGTTATCTCTCCGTTCTACAGTGATATGCGCTGGAACAAAGGAACCATCCTAAAAGCATCAGTGGAGTACATCAAGTGGCTACAAAAAGAACAACAAAGAGCCCGGGAGTTAGAACACAGACAGAAGAAATTAGAGCAGGCTAACAGGCGACTTCTACTCCGAATTCAGGTTTTTATAAAAATGATGCCATGCGCTGTGCAGCTAACACATGACTCACTTGTCATCGGTTTTATTCATTGGTGTCATTTATTCTTTTTTCTTATTAACAGTTATTTTTCCTTCTGAAAGATCATTTTATTACCTTTTAGAAGTTCATGAACTGGTTTCTTTCGATTAGGTTTTGATTAGAAATCCAGGATCAAGATGACCTAAAATATGCATACAATGAATGACAATACTAATCACAAAACACAGAAAATAGAGCTCATTTCATAACTACACAATGTTATTTCACCAAAAAAAAAATCAAGTAGAACATTTGTTTCTCTAGATAATATTAGATACTAAATTCTTCCCTCTCCCTTGCATTCTTTTAGTAACATGGCAGTATCATTGCCTTAGGGCATGTTGTACGTACCAGCTTAAATTATCAGTTTATGTCAGCTGTTCATGTGACCCCCAAATACCCAAATAGGGGCTTTCATAATTCTCTCTCTTTAATGTGAGTATGCTTGTAGCCAGGTAAAGCATTTACTTTGTGTCCATGCAATGTCCCTGAATTATGGTGAGAAATTAATCAGAAAGAACAAATAGAAGATTTGCTACTATTTCCAAATGGCTATATTGTAGTCTGAACCACTATGGGACCATAATATGACATGAATTCCTTTAGAGAACAACGAGAGCAGATTTTTAAAAAAATCTGAGTAATTTTCCAGGGTTAATTTTCAGGTATCAGAAATGCCACACATTCCTTTATTTCGGGAAAATACATGTAACTGTATTACTCTTTGCTTTGAAAGCTTGTAAATATTTTTGTTTTGTTTCTGGTTTATTTGCTAGCATTATGCCCACTTTCAAAGGCATTTTTAAATGAGTTTTGTTTGAAATTGCAGGAACTAGAAATACAAGCGCGAGCTCATGGTCTGCCAACCCTGACTTCACTTGGCACTGTTGATTTAGATGCCCATGTCACCAAACAGCAGACCCATCCTGAGCAGAATTCAGTAGACTATTCCCAACAACTGACTCTGTCTCAGAGGCCAAGCCCTGAGCTCTGCGATCAAGCTCTGGCCTTCTCTGATCCTTTGTCACACTTCACAGACTTATCATTTAGCGCCGCTTTGAAAGAGGAACAAAGATTGGATGACATGCTACTGGACAACACAATATCCCCGTTTGGAACAGACCCTCTGCTATCTGCTGCTTCACCTGCAGTTTCCAAAGCAAGCAGTAGGAGAAGTAGCTTTAGCTCAGAGGATGGTGATGAGTTTTAAGAAATAAACAAGCTCAATCCATCACCTGGGAAGCAAGTCTGTGCTGGAGTTATGCAGTTGTGTTCTGTGTATTGCTTTGGCTTAATTTTCCTGACAGGAATATGTTGCCCGTGAAAAGCTGATTAGAAGCAACAGAAGAATTCACAGGAAGTAAAGACATGCTGTTGAAGAATTATTTAGGACTAAATATTTTCTTCTTTCTTTAAAGAGGCTACTTAAATTTTGTTTTCCTGGAAAGAGGCACATCGTAAGAAATAGCTCTGTGCTGATGGGTAGTATTGGGACTAACAGCCTGTGAAATATACAAACTGACTGAAATGTACAAAACTTCTCTCAGCTGTTCACTTCCTTGCTAGTCACATATCAAAGCATCAGTTTCTAAGAATGAAGATCAACAAGTCCTGTGGTCATTATTTTTTTCTATGTTGTCTAAAGTTCAAACCTTATAGGGAAAATAAGTATAAAATAGACTATCTGTCACTTATAACCCAAAAGTGACTATAATAAATATGAGAATTTTCCATAATAAACTACAGAAAATTTACAAAAACATGGGTTACCAAAATGAGACCCTTGTTTCCTGGTTAGTTCAATTACATGAATTCTAAAAGCATTCTTGCATATTTATGTCTCCATGGTCTGTTCATAAAAATGAACCAGTTGAATAATTTCCTCCAGAACATGGTCTAGAATTTTATCAGTTCACCCAGACACCCATACAAATGCACACAATACCAAGTAGTACGTATTCTTTTATTTTCATTCATTTTTCTGATTATCTAATTAGGATTACAAATCACATTTCAAATTGTTTTCTTCTTTAAGAGAGTTTAAATAATCAATTTCAGTATATAAAATATAAAAGGTCCCCCTATTAGGAAATTGTGTGAGGTATCTAACATTTATCAACATGTCCAATGTTGGATATAGATTAATGGTTGATACAGTTTTGTTCTAAATTGAACAAATATTGAAAATTTTACTGGTACATGGGGAAATATGAAATCCTATGGTAGAATGATTACCTCATGCTTAGTTCACAACAATAGCTCCTATTTTGAAGAATTAAAATAATTTTAATTGATGTGGAAAAATAAGTATTAATTTCTCAGAACAGTCATTAAAAGCAGGTAGCTTATAAAGGGATTCTTGGAATTGCAGTAGGTCCTGGGAAAATATTAAACAAATGAAGAAGATGATGTTACTACTGGGTGGGAAGATTAATAAAACTAAAATGATTAATAAAACTAAAAATAAAACGAAAGGCAACAAAAAAGGATAGAAAACATATAGAATAAAAATCTAAGCATAAGCTGTAACATAGAGACATTCAATACAATGAAAATGAATGACAATGTCTAGGGAAGCCATGGAATTTGACTTCTCTTTAAAGGCATAAGTCGGGTGAAAGAGAGGTGGTATATAGACATAATATCAACCAAATAATAAAAATAAGGATTATATCGTGGAGGTACCTTCATGAGACATTCATTAAGGGATCTGGTCATTCTATTAACCTTCAGTTGGAGAGTTCTGGAAAAAGAAATTGGCAACAGGTTGTGGGGGTCCTTGAAAATGAGAATAAAATGATAATGTAGCAATGGAAGTTTTTAGTAGGAGTGAGCAACCAAAAATTAAAATATATATTGCTAATCTTACTAAGACATAATCTATCAAGAATATTAAACTTTGAAATAAATTTTTGAAAGGGTCTTATTTTTTCACCTGGAAATATGTCATCACAAAATTTGAGATTTTAACACTGATATACATGGGGAAATATGAAATCCTATGGTAGAATGATTACCTCATGCTTAGTTCACAACAATAGCTCCTATTTTGAAGAATTAAAATAATTTTAATTGATGTGGAAAAATAAGTATTAATTCCTCAGAACAGTCATTAAAAGTAGGTAGCTTAGTTTATAGAAACTGTTCCTTGTGAAAGAGAACAATTAGATAGTTTCTCCATAAATTTTGAAGAGGATATTGAATATGTAGAGCTATATAACAAAGTCTACTGTATTATCTGAGTTGATAATTCATTCAACTTTGCAAATTATAGAGAAATTATAGCTTTGGAATCAATGGAAAGCACACCATTGTAGGGAACTTGGTTTTTGTTCTTCTACTCACAGTTCTCCTTTCTTCATATTCTAAGATGGCTTGACCTGATGATGCTGTTATGACATCAGTTTCCATTCTTTTGAAGTTCTACTTGTCCTTGACCCTATGTCTCATATCTGGGCTGACATAAGGACTTGGCACAGGATAGTAGAGCCTGTTGACAAGAGATCTGAAGATGGACTAATATTTGCTGCTCTATTCTAAATATGAGATATCAGGGAATTATAAAATGGGTAATGGATTTTTAAAGTCAAGGTGAAGAGTGTTACTGTGCCTGTCAATGGAAATAGGCTAAAAATTAATTATACAGTAGTTTTAAAATTTTCATTATATGAATCCCTTCAGAATCTAGTGGAAGATATATACCATCTCCCCAGAGAAAATGTAGATCTGTATATTGTCAATATAGGACAATAAATTGCATGCTTCAGAAGGTTTTAGGAACCTCCTGAATGTCTTCTTGAATCCCAGATAAAAAATTTCTGCATCATTTCTATAAATTCATCGATAGCTACTTAACTATATATGAAGAGACAGGTGTGTAGTTATTGTCATACATAATGAGGGAGCAGGGAACACTACTTATCTTAATATTATTATTCCAGTTGTAATGCTATTGAAGCTGCATAATATGGTAAATTTGTACCAAATACTAGATTATTTGCTAATTAATTGGTTCATTTATAAAGTAGTCCAATTTCATATATCCCCTCCCTACTCAACAAATTATACTTGCCATATGTTACATATTTGTGGAGCTGTACTCTGTCATTATTAGATACTGTACACATCCAATCATAACATTTGGAAATGATGAATATACATTTCAAAGTAAAAATAATGAGAATTCAAAAGCAAATAATTTGAGTATCTAAGAATCAAGAGAGACTCTTAGGAAAACTGATAAATATCTAGAATACGTTTGCAGTAATGAGACTTCTCATAACAGCAAAAGAGGCAAATTGTTTATCAAGCAATTTGTTCATAAAAATATCACTTTATCACAGGACTCTTAATAATTAACCAGGCCTTGTTCATTCAAAGGATTAATGCATAATTGTAATTCAGATTTTCTTATTTAGGTAAGATAATATTAAATAATTTTATTATCTTTCGCTATATTTTCAAACTAATGTCCAGCCAAATCTTTTTTCTATTTATGATAAAATGTTGTATACCTTTTAGTGTATTCTCATTATGCAGCTTTTTCTAATCCCCAAATATCTTGGGGATTTCCTGTCAGTAGATATATCTGTTTATAATTTTTTCATTTAGTTTTTCATCTTGAACTTTTCTATATGAATTTTAGGACATATATACCAACAATATTTCCTCAGTTTTCATTCATATCGGTGACTATAGCTTTCTTAATATAGGTTAAAAAAGTTTGAGAATAATAAATAGTGAGATGAGCTAATAACATTGAGAAGTAGCTCCCCTCCTTTTAAAAATCTGTTTTCCCCACTCACATAACTGTATATAAAACACCTAATAGCTCTTATTTTAAAGAAATAGACACAAATAATTTTCTTGGTTTAGTGTGCTCATTTATCTCATTATCAAACAAGTTAAATTTCAAAAATTTAAAGAAGATATATTTTTCTTCTATTTGGATTGACTGAGTCATATTGGAATTTTCTTGTGCTTCAAGGTATCAGTAAAATACTTTTGTTTTTCTGGCACTGTGGGATTTAAATACATAAATGTCTCAACTAAAATTTCCAATAGATTTTTAATCAACACCAATCATTCATATCTTGGTGAATGTAATTAATAATAATCTATTACATATATCAAAATAGAAGACAGGAATTTGAATAAATTCTTTAACATTTTCTACAATGCTGGTATTTACTGATCTTTTGATATCTATTATATGGATAAAACTGGAATCAATTAATCCGTTCACTGTGTAATCAGCATTAGATTAATCACCTGAGTTTCTTGAAAACACCTGAAGTGTTGAATTTTGGTTCCATATTGATAATGGCTTGCCTGGTATGTGCTACATGGATCACGACCTTTGCCCCTCCAGTAATCTGAATGTCAATAAGTAGAAGAAGCCAATTTGAGTTTCTATACACTGTGTGTAAAGGGATTTCATTATATTTATTTAATAAATACTAAAATCATTGGGTGTGCTGATGATCTAATGTGTCATATGACCCTCCTGCCATTATTATTCATAAAACAAGTTACAGGGGGAAAACAAATTAAGCTTTTGTCTTATATCAATTCTACACATAATATTTTAGTTCTTATAAGATTTTTAATTCAATAACAAGGAAACTATTCAAAAATTGGGAAAGAAAATCAGACTTCCTTAAAGTTGTCTGGGCCACGCATTTCCCTGTGAGCTTCATAGATAATTTCAGTGTATAAGAGTCTCAGAAAACATTTTGATTTTAAAAAGCCTCTTCCACTATCACACCAATTTGAGGATAAAATACTGCTACCTACAGCTTTATACATAAAAGGGAACTTTTTATCTTCTTGTAAGGGATTTGTATGTGTATTGTTATATGATCAAATGATTTCTGTTGTTTTCTGCTGATAAAATCCTCTGTAAAATGTCTTTTTTTCTTACATTATACAACAGGATTAAAGAATAAAATTAAAGACTTTGTGTTTGCATCACTACCTCTCCTATTCCTTCACTACCTTTTTATTTCAAAATTCTGTTTTTTTCCAGAGAAATAAATTTTGTTTGTATTATTTAAAGTATGTTGTTGTACATAACAAATAAAATGTACAAAACAAAGGGTAGACTGTTATTCTTCTGAAAGAATTATAAAATCAGTAAGTTACACATTGCATTTTCCTTTAAAATATAACTTACTAAAGTTTAAAAGCAAAGTAAGTTCAAGAATCTTGTCTAGCAGCATAGCAGTTGCTTATGGCATGCTAGTCTAAAATTAATTCAGCTATTTAATCTTAATAATAACAATGTAGTTAAAAATACTTGACTTTAATAGCATTTTATATATATGAATAGCTGAAGTAACATTCCTATAATTTTAATCTAACATTGGTTAGATCAGGAAAACAATGTTAATGTAATAAGACTGTAGACTTTGTAATTATTTCTATTTTTCATTTTTAATAACAAAATAATATGTCTTATTTTCTAAGAAAATGAAGAACATTGGTGTATTTTAATACATACATGAATCTTTGTACAAGTACTTTTAAAATGCACCAATATTTTCTTTGCACATATTAAATGAAAGACTATAATTATTAAATGTTTTAATATACTTTTTGTTCTGCCTCCATATATAGACTGCACTGGAAAATAGAATGTGGGTTAATCATTAAAAAGGATAGTTAACAGCCAAGAGACTTCACAAGTGATAACTGCTTACTACAGAGTCCAGGCTGAAAACCATGACGCAATATTTCCCTATTATCATAAGAAATTGTTACATTCAATGTGGTCTCCTGCCATCTGTTTCTTCATGCTGTTATGGCTTCGATTTATGGAAAATATTTATCAGGATGTTGCAAAATTGCTAACAGGAATAATAGTAGCAGGCAAATCAATAAGAAATTCTGAAATACCTTTCAATATACTAGAGGTTTCTCAGAAAATCTAAGATATATAGAATACTGTATTCTAATATGCAAAACTTTTAAATCTGCTAATTAGTATTGACTAGAACTATCCCTTGGTAATGAAATTAATAAGAATTTTAGCTGTGTTAACACTTTCTAATATTTTATACCATGCTTATGGATTTCTTTTAAATATTTCTGCTTCAAGTATGATGACACAGAACTGCTTCCTGAGTTAACTGTAAAGATTGATGTTATATGTCTAAACATAGGCTCATTGGTTTTTTTGAAAATTAATGCTACATAAATAGATGTTGCAAAAGACTATCAGTGCCCAAATACTGATCAATATAATAATTTATGTATGGAAATAATACCCAAACTAATATAGAAGAAGATAAATTATTATTTTTAACACTTTAAAGACTAAAAAAATGGATGACTGAATGAATTTTATATTTGACTGGTGTTGAATGCATATGTAAATGTATGATGTGTTTACCTGATAGAGCTTATTGAAAAATTTTCAAATCTCTCTATATTGATAAAGGTTACACACATAAAATGTTATTTTATGTTATTCTTTATTAGATTATACAGGTAAGAAACATTTTAAGCTATCTTCAAATCTCTTCTATTGGGAATGTGCATGTGCGTGCACTCGTGCGCACACACACACACACAAAACTTACCTTAGGTCAAAAAGATGAAGAAAGTTGTAATGCACTTTAATATTTATTTGCTAAAATATGTGATATCTGCAGCTCTATATTATTAAAATGTAAGAGAAGCAATAATTTTATTGACCATCAAAATGAAGAGTAAAACCTATTTCAAGGAAGTTGTTATTGTTATTGTTGTTATCAACTGCAGGGTTCAATAAAACTTATTGGTTACATAATGGGTACCCATCATTTTAGGTAGATATCAGTTTCATTAATTGGCAACCATAAGACAAGAGTACAATGTTTTCAATGGTGATGATTTAGAAAGGATCCACCACATTGTGGTTAAATATATGATTCACACAATAAGAAAAAGGTGCCTTGAGGCTATTGTTCCTAGCATGGATTAAAATTTACATATTGCTTCTCCTTATGTCAAAACATCTGGTGCCTGCAAATGCTAACATTTCGTTAAAAAGTTTCATAAGCCAGGAAAAGTGGATTAGAAATATTGCATGTGAATCATTCAAGCATTATAACAGAATAAGAGCTATGTTCAGGAAAAACTAAATTACTGCAAACAATACTATAATTTATTTACATATACAAATGAAAAATAATGTGTGTAAGTATGGAGGAAAACAGTGTTTGAGTTCATGGTTCTCTTTTCAAAAAAGTTATTTCTAGAAACTATGTGGAATAAGTAGATTTCCAAGTCCTTTAAGATTTGCAATCACTCTAATGGTGATAGAAGCAGTATGTAATCATTTACAAACTGTTCTGGTATTCCTAAGGACAGAAAATAGGAGTTTGAAGCATTATTCATTCTAGCATTAAATTTATATTAATTCACTGGTAAATATAAAAAGTCAATTTGAGATGTGGATGGATTACTTTTTCTATAAAATGTCTCCAAGTCAATCAATCAGTTTTTACAATTTTGTTAGTCAGCTTTTCATCACTGTGACAAAATACCTGGCATAAACAACTTAAAAGGAAGAAAGATTTATTTGGGCTCATGGTTGGTCCCTTGACTCTCTTGTTTCTGGGTTTATGGTGAGGCAGATCATGACAGGGAGGGCATGGAAGAGCTAAGCTGCTTGCCACAAGGAGGATGGAAGAAGGTGAGGGGAGGGAATTTGAGGAACTTGAAGTGTAATCGCACAGGATACACAACATTCCCATTCCAAAATAGAGGAATGTGAGGAGTAGGAGGAATAGGAGAGTATTAGGGAAGGATGGGGCCAAACCAAGACCAAAACTCAGGAGGGCAAACAAGAAATCCTGCAGCTCCATGTCTATCATCAGGGTTCACAATTGGATGTGATTTCTAAAGGACACTGGTAAAAACTTACATTGTATTCTGGCTTTTGTAGTCCAACAAGGACATTCAAGATTTTACCATCTTAAAGCTTTTCCTCATTGCCACTTTCTGTGGTTACTCTCATAGTCTTTTAAGGATGTACTAGCTAGCTGCTACTTAAATTCTAATTTTGTATTTCTGCTTAATGTACAGATTACCTTGTCAGTACCTGGATGGGCACTGGATGCAATATATATATTGCATCATATATATATATATATATATATATATATATATATATTGCATCATATATATATATATATTGCATTATATATATATTGCATTATATATATATATATATATATATATATATATATATATATATCCATACACACACATACATATATACATGGAAGGTACATATGGATTAGTTTCTTCAGATAATGAAATGGTACTCAAGGCTATAACCATTCATTGAAATATTTGCCTTTAAATCTTTCTTTGCATTTCTTTCAAATGCTGTAAAATAAGTATTTTTCTCTTCTTTGAACTTATCTAAAATATGACTTAAAAATGAAAATAATGTTAGTTTTTTTAAAAATAATGGTTCTAGATAAACCTTCTATTCTAGAGTCTTATTTACTTATTCCTTCAAATTTCCTTTAATAAGCATCCCCCAAGGGGATAATATAGAAGATGGAGGTCATTGAAATTCTCAATAAATAATGGTAAATGTTATGCTGGTGGAACTAAGAATGTTCTGGAAGGCATATCAGGATATCTGAATGAGTCTCAGGCAAACAGAGAACTAAAGGAAGAATGGGAGCTAGCCTGGTGCAGAGGGGAATCCAGGAGACTCTTAAGTATAGGCAACCAGGCAAATTACCAACATTCATCAGGGTTTTTTTCATCAGTGCTTTTGACTCCCTAGGACATAACTTTTTTTATTATTATTAGATTTGCATCTAGTTGGAGTAATAAATTTAAAAACTTATCTTTATCACATGTGATTCAGGTTTATTTGGGAAACACAGAGTTAGCCAGAAGATCCTTAGATTCTTGTGTCATTTCTCCTAGGTACAAATTAAAACGCACATGCTTCTCTCTCTCTCTCTCTCTCTCTCTCTCTCTCTCTCTCTCTCTCTCTCTGTGTGTGTGTGTGTGTATAGAAGGAAATAGGAGGAAAGATACTGATGTGGCAAACCAGGAAGTACTGTGTTCTCAAATAGCTTTACCACTACTCACCTCTATTTTCTTCCTCCTAGTATTAAGTATAGAGAGTAAACACTATACTCACAGCCAGAAGCTTTTAGTTCATCTCCCACACTAAGAATATCCAAAGCCACCAATAACACCTTGCATCTATCTACTCATGAAAAGTCTAAAAATATCATTTAAGAAATCTGGTGTTAAAAGTTACTGCCTAAGGAAGATGGGATACAATATCCCTAAAAGGGATGACTCAATGCAATAAAGATATCAATGCTCCCTAAGTTAATTTATAATCTTTATGGAGAGCAATAAAAATATCACTCTATATACCAGACAAGTTGGTATTAAACTTTATAAGGAAATATAAACAAGTAAGAAAAAAAAGTATCTAAGTAAAGAGGGGCAAGGAGGGAAGATGACGACTCTGATATTAACACACATCTTAAAGTCACTAATTATAACTCAGATGTGTAGACATAAATAGACATTCCAAAGTGCATTGAAACCAAACACTGAAAAGCATTGCAAACAAGCATAGAATACACTATTCTAGAAATGTTGAAATTTCACCAAATGTACATTAATGTGAGATTTAGAAGTAACTACAAAAAGAAACACTATGCCCCTGTGTCCTGTGTTCTGATATGGAAAGTTCCCTATGAATAGTTTTTACCTAGTACTGTATGGTACAGAACTGCATGTAGGGCATTTTCTTCTCAGTGATGGGGAAAGATAGGACTATGTTTTCATATTTGTCATATATGCAGTAATAAAATGCAGAAAAGATATATAAAAACTTAACAACTCTGTTATTGGAGCAAATATGGGAACATTTATACTAGATACCTTTACTATTTATTTATTTATTTATTGTTTATAATCTTTTGTATATATTTAAATAA